TTGACTAGAGTTTGAAATTTGCTTGCAGTTTTTCTTTTCTTAAATGTGAAATTCACATACAATGAAAAATGCAAATTCTTTTCTTAAAGATTTTTATTTATTTTTTTAAAGATTTTATTTATTCATTCATAAGAGACACAGAGAGAGAGGCAGAGATACGGGCAGAGGGAGAAGCAGGCTCCATGCAGGTAGCTTGATGTGGGACTCGATCCCAGGACCCCGGGATCACAACCTGAGCCAAAGGCAGTCGCTCAACCACTGAATCACCCAGATGTCATAAAGACTTTTTTTTTTTAAGTCAACTCCACACCCGACTCACCCGATTTCAAGTGGGGCTTGAACTCACCACTCTGAGACCAAGAGTCACATGCTCTACAACTGAGCCAGCCCAGTGCCCCAAATATACAAATATCAAGTATACATTTGTTGAAGTTTACCAATACCTGTGTAACAAACATCCCAATCAACTATTCCAATCACCGCAGAAGGTTCCTTTATGTCCCTTCCCAGTCTATCCCTGTCCCCAACTCACCCCTAAAGGCAACCATAATTCTGATCTCCCACCACAGGTTAGTTGGCAGTAATTCTTTTTTTTTAAGCTTTTATTTATTTATTTGTGAGAGAGAGAGAGCACGCGAACAGGGGGAGGAGCAGAGGGAGAAGCAGAATTCCTGCTGAGCAGGGAGCCTGATGGGGGCTCCATCCCAGAACCCCAACATCACTACCTGAGCTGAAGGCAGACACTTAACCGACTGAGCCACCCAGGCACTCTGGCAGTAGCTACCAACACCTCCCTGTCTGTCCTCCCACCTCTCTGGAAATTCAGTTGGGAGACCTGAAGTCAGGTCAAGAAATCTTCCTGCTTCTCCTCCTCTGGTGTCCCTTCTCTTTCCTGCAATCAGCAGAGGGGGGACTTCCTTCACTTCCCAGATGGAGAGAATTTCAATGATATATCCAGAGATCTCTGGCCCTGGCTTATGGTAACCTTGAGAGTCTTATCCATTAGGCCTGACTCCTGACTGTTAGGGGAGGTTTAAAGTTTACTAAACCCTTTCTTGGCAAGGCCAAGCTTTAAAGATCATTGTCTTGTTAGGCACTAATAATCAAAGCAAGCAGAAAGCAGAACATCCGATCAGGCAACCAATGCCTGCCATCGCTCTCCACTTCAGTGGGTGGGGAGTCCCAAGGCAACATAATTTATAAGAAAAACAGCTGAAAATACTTTAAATATATTATCCTCAAAGAAGAATGAGTGAACCAATGATGAATCAAGAGGAGGATCTAAAATAGATTGATATATAAACACTGATTTAAAAAAAAAATGCCACAAGTACTGAAGCCTATGTAGGTTCCATAGAGATTTATTTACTCTCGAGTGGGTACAGAGATATATTTGTTGAATAAATTTTGGAAAGAGTGAATGAATGTGTGAGTATATGAGGGGATCATGAACATCCAACACTAAAACACAGTAAGCTGTAAAAGCTCTGCGGCTTCAGAGCCGCTTCTAGGTCCTGATGATGTTTGATAGGCAGGTAGATGAACAGGGCAACACTTGGATACAGGACGGGAGGCAGGTTACCTGTGATCTCCTGGTTTGCCCGAAGCTTCTGGCCCTCCCACAGTGGCCAACAAGGAGGTCTGCTGAAGATGGTGACCTGAATGGAGACCTGCCTTCCGGCCACGCAAACATCTCCCTCCCAGAGCCCGAACCCAGCTAGCTATGTCACCGCGGTTAATACTCTGAGGAAGAAGTGATGTAGAGATGAGTTCGGGCTTTAGAGTCTTTTATTAGTTACCCAATGACTTCCCCCAGGGTGGAGGGAGCAGTATCATCTCCCATCTCCCAGCTCAGGTTGACAGAGGCCCAGAGACGGGAGGGGACAGCCTGCTACCAGACCAGTCCAGGTCTAACTTAGCTTCGTCCTTCTGACTCATTGTCCTGTGAAGATGAATTCCCAAGACCACGTAGATGACTCCCAGCCTGAGCACACAGGGGATCGTGTGTCCAGCTGGCTGCTCGGACCTTGGGATTTGTCCACAGACAGCATCACACTTGCGGTTGCTGGAGCCATGGGACTCTGGAAATGAGTGGGCTGCCCCTGCAGAGCACAGCTGCCTTGGGATTTTTCTAGCCAACGGACTCGTCTTTACTAGAGACCACAGCCTCAGGCCCACTCTCCACTCCCACTTCCCAGAGGAAAGTATACCTGGACCAGCAGTTCTCAAACATTTCAGGTTTTAGGACCTCTTTACACTCTGAAAAAATTACTGAGGACCCCGAAGAAGGTTTGCTTCTGTGGGTTATAGCTATGGATATTTACCAATTTAGAAATTAACATTGAGAAACTCACAAAATGTTTATTCATTAGCTCATTTAAAAACTAATAAACTAAAAAAAAAAAAACTAATAAACTGGATCACCTGGGTGGTTCAGTGGTTGAGCCATCTGCCTTTGGCTCAGGGTGGTGATCCCAGGGTCTTAGGATCGAGTCCCGCATCAGGCTCCCCACAGGTTCTCCCTCTACCTGTGTTTCTGCCTCCCTCTGTGTGTCTCTCATGAATAAATAAATAAAAATCTTTTTTAAAAAAACTAATAAACCCATTGCATCTTAACACAAATAGCATATATTTAGGAAAAATAACTGTGTTTTCCAAATCAAAGAAATAAAATTAGTAAGAATAGCATTGTTTTACTTTCTTTTTTGAAGAATCTCTTTAAAGAGAAGGCTTCTTAGGAAAATGGCTATAGTCTCATATCTGCTTTTCCATTCAGTTTTTTGCAATATCACGTATCACACATTCTACCGTACACTCACAAGAGAATAAAAATGAAATTAAAAAAAAAAAAAAGAAAGAAAGAAAGCTTCCCTAGTGCTATGAAAATAGGATTGGCTCCACAGATTCCCTGAAAGAGCTTTGGTGACCCCAGACCTTCCTTCGAGAAAGACTGCTCTCAGTAGAGTTTCTCAAACTGTATTATGCATATGAATCATGTGAGGAACTGTTAAAATGTAAACTCAGGTTCAGAGGGCCTGGGAAAGTGCCCAGGAGTCTATATATCTAACCAGCTCCAGGTGATGCTGACTGCACACTCACAGATTCACAGCTCTGCCTCTGACACTTTCCAAGGCAGGGCCAGGCAGGTGCCCTGAGTCTTGGAAAAGTCATGGTGCCCTCCAATTCTTATAATTAAAACAAGAGTAAATTTGAAATTAAATAACCCCCCCAAATCCTTCTATTTCCCAAAGTTATCATTTTGATTTTTAAAATTATTTTTATTTTTAAAAAATATTTTAATTATTTATTTGACAGAGAAAGAAACTATAAGCAGGCAGAGCCACAGGCAGAGGAAGAGGGAGAAGCAGATTCCTTACCAAGCAGGGAGCCGGATGCTGGGGGGCTCAATCCCAGGACCCTGAGATCATGACCTGAGCTGAAGGCAGATGCTTAGCTGACTGAGCCACCCAGGCACCCCTTAAAAATCATTTTTAAAAATTGTTTTTGGAGCCCACTTTGCTGGGTTGAAGCCTATGAGTAATCCATTCCTCTTTATTTTTTATTTACTTATTTTTTTTTATTTTATTTTTATTTTTATTTTTTTCCATTCCTCTTTAAAGGGAAGGCCCTGCCTAGGTCTCTGCTGCTCTGCGCCACCCCCTCGGAAGCCCCCACCCCATCCTCCACTGCCCAGATAGAAGCCCCTGTTTTTCTATATTCCTCCCACCAAAGGAACAGGGGCCATTAGCATGACCCCAACTCCAAGATCTAGGGCTCAGTGAGCAGGTTAGAGGACAAAGAAGCTCTCCAGATGTCTGTCGTCAAGGAAATGGAAATGCAAGGACACCGAAACACCTCCACAAAGAGCATGACATTTCTTCATAAGGGCAAAAACCCGGGAAAAAATGGCATTCCCATCAATTCGGGGAAAGTAAGCAAAATATGTAAATTAACACTAGAAATGCCACTATGATGACTGTGCATGTGTGTATGCCGTGATCTGGAAAGGGAGCAAGATGTGAGCATGGTTCAGTGAAAAGGTTAGGCTATAAATCCACCTCCCGTACAGCGGGATGTCTGTGAATTTATTTACATATGTTTGCAGCGATATGCATAAAGTATATACTTTCTTCCTTCTCCTCGTTGCTTGGATTTTCTACTTGAGTTATGTATTATCTTTACAATCAGAAAAGCAAACAATTTGTAAAGGACGTATTTAGGGGCGCCTGGGTGGCTCAGCTGGTTAAGTGTCTGCCTTCTGCTCAGGTCCTGAGATTGAACTCCACGTCTACTCCACGTCTGGCTTCCTGCTCAGCGGGGAATCTGCTTCTCTCTCCTTCTCTCTCTGCCCCTCCCCATTGCTCTCTCTCTCTCTCTCTCTCTCATGAATAAATAAAATCTTAAAAAAAAACAACAACAACATATGTTTATTCCACAGACAGGGATTTTAATTTGTGAAGCAACACTGGGTTATCCCAAGTAGTCCCAGTCTTTGGCTCCTTCCTGATCATTTAGAATCAGAGGAGACCAGAACCAGTAGGACCTGGGCTACCATCTTATTGAGCACCAAGGCCCAGAGAAGCTTAGGGACTGGCTAGGCCAACCCAAGATGAAAGATAAAGGGGCCCCGGATGAGACAGTGATTAGTGGGGAGGAGCCTGACCCTCACAGGCAGAAAGGCAGGGCCCGGGTCTGCAAGCTGCAGGGCAGGAGGGAGGAACAACAGGGCCCGGGGCCAGCAGGCAGTAATTAAAGGCAGTGCAGGCCTACAAACAGCCCATTAAAAGTGTTTGCCCTGCATCAAACTGGCAAGCAGAACTCAACCCCTCTGCCACTTTCCACATCAAACACTTGGGGTTTTTACACACTTTCCTGCATGTTCAGGGGATCACAGGGATCACAGCACTTGCTGACCCAGCCCGTCCTTGCCCCCCCATCTCCCAGAATCTCCCCCCACCCACTCCACCTTTCCTCCCTGACCCAGCCCCACCCAGCCTCCTTGGGCCCCCAGTCATCCCCTCAAGGCACTTCCCAACAAAGAGAAACCTCTTCCCATTCCCAGGAAAATAAAAGTCCTTCTATTTAATTGACAAAGGAAGACTTCAGAAGCTTTCAGGTCCAGAATCTTGGAGCCCCGGGATCTTAGCCTTTGAGCTAGGATGATGCTTCATACTGTAGGCCAGTCCTCTTAAGTCACAGGTGGAGAGATCAGGCGTTCTGAGATGAAGAAGTCTTGCTCAACATCACGAGCACCGGTGGAGGCCAGGTCTCCAAGCTTCAGGGTGGAGCCAGCTCACAAAGTCTGGTGAATTTGCTTTGCCTTTGAACCGAAGAGCCGCTCCCCTCTTTCCTATTTACCTCCTCCCAAGAGCTTAGGTTGACATCACCCCTGGCAGTTGTGTTGACAGGGGGAGGGCCCTGCAAGAAGCCCAAGGAATCAGGCTGTCTGGTCCCAGACAGAAGCTGGGCCTCAGTTTCTCCCACAGTCTCTCCTTCCAATTTCCAGCGTAGATTTCCCACAGGCCTGAGAGGCAAAGCAGCATGCCAACCCTATCACCCCACCCCAACCCTCGGAAGTCTCAAACTGGAAAGTTCGCAGACTTTGAGGAGGCGGACAAGCTCAGGAATGGTCCAACTATAGGAGTTGAATGAGCAATTGCAAGAGGAGAGGGGTAGGTGAGTCAGGGTCCCTGGGCATCCAGACCCGTCCATGAGTTATCCCGGTTACCCCTATGGTCAATCTGTCCATATTGGAGGAGAGGCCACTATCTTCATTTTGCTGCTCCTGTGACCAGGAGATGAGCTGTTCTTCAAACCCAGGCCTACGTGGATCTGAAGTTTCTCCCTCTGATGTTCAGGGCTCCTCCCTGCAGCCGGAGCCCTCAGTGGGGCAGTGGGCCCCGTGCAGGGGGCGGAGGGTGTGGCGTGGTTGGGGGCATGGCCCAGGGGAGGACCCTAGGCCCTACTCTTGTAGGTGCCTCTGGAGCCACACAGAAGAGAGCGCCACGGCCTCGGAACCTCCTCCTCGCACCCAGGATGGGAGAAGCCGGCCCCAGACAGCCCCAGCACTGGGTCCCGGTCCCGGCTCTGCAACTTACTGCCATGTACCTTGAAGGAGCCCTCTCTGAGCCTCCATTTTCTCATCGGAGGCTGCTGGGAGGTTGAGAACGGGAGACCACAGCTCCCAGCTGCTTTCCGCTCCCCCCTCCTCTCTTCTTGCCAGGCTTGTGACCTTTCTGGGCCTAAGTTTTTCCCACAGCCCCAGCTCCCAAATCTGTGCTAGGAAAGCCTCTTGGCCGAGGCCACTCCCACGATGGACACCCTCGAGGTGCAACCCAGGGCAATTAGTGGGTGATTAGGTGTCGCTGCCAGGGTGAGAAGGGCCACGCCTCCTCTAGGATGCTGACTGTCCTGCCCAGCAGCACCCCGAGACCTGCCTCGTGAACTCGGGGCTGGCTGGCTGGCTGCTCCAACACGCCGATCAGACGGTCCGCACACCCGCGCGCAGAGGAAGCAAGGGCAGGCCTGCCCCGGCATGGCAGGTGAGTGGGCAGGGCCTGGGGCCCCGGGGCACCGGGTCCCTGAGAGGAGCTTCAGGAAAGGGGGGGGTCGGTGCAGTGGAACTTCGAGCGTGGATCCCTAGGATTGCATTGCTGCACAATCCATGCACTGTTCCCTCATGTTCCTGAGAGCGTGGAAACCCAGAGATAGAAAGAGCCATCCTGGGATGGCCCAGCAAGGCCATGGCAGGGCCCTCCCTGGCCTGGAGCCAGGCCTTCCCCACCTGCCTGGTGAGCAGAGGAAGAGATCGGGGACAGAGAGAGACCCCATGAGCTGCGTCCTCTTCAAATTCCCACCCCAAAGACTCGAGGGCAAAAGCAACTCTGTCTGAGGTCAAAATAGCCATGTGACCTTGAGAAGGAGAATTTGCTCTTGATGCCTCCATTTTCTCATCTGTATAGGGAATTATAATACAAATCATCTCACAGGCCTGCTGCGAGGAACTGATGAAAATCAAGTGTGCCAAATGCCCCACAATATCTCATGTGGGACCTCATAGGCAGCAGACACAGAAAATGCACCCCCACTGTGGCCCCAATATAGTGAAGGGCAAACTTGCCTCCACCCCAGGAACTTGTCTGCTAGCAATTACGTATTTTAAGCCTCCTCTGGCTGGGTGCTGGGGATCAGGGGTGAGCACGACAGCCCACGCAGGGGTCCTCCTCTCATAGGTCTTTAAAGGATGTTCCTAATGTTATACCACTTATTTTCTATTGTCCAGGATCATGCGACAATCACATGAGTCAACTCTTGTTTATTCTTTGACTTTCAAAAGCAGGTAGTTTAGTTTCTTTGTCATATTTGAATTTGTCCTCATTCCACCCTGGCAGTTGCTAATATTTATGGGCATCCGGGGCTCTCCTGGCTCTTGGGATGGTCTGCTCCCTCAGGGCCAGGCCTTGCCACCCCAGCTCACACCCCAGACTGCTGTTTCGAGAGCTGGTGCTGCTTCTTCCCTGTTAGCCCTGGGTCACAGGGGACTGGCTCTGCTTCCTTCAGGATCTACTTTTTCAGGGTGTACCTAGAGGCCCCTCTTCCCTACTGCTCTGATATACTATCAGTTTTAAAGTGGACAAACTTTAATTGCTGAGAAAGACCCTTCTGGGAGCAAAGTCAGGAACAGGGGGTTCCAGTGTCAGATCTGTTGCTAACCCGCTGGGTGGCCATTCCTCCCTCCGAAGCTCAGTTTCTCCACCTGTAAAATAACAGGGTGAGACCCATCACACCTAGCAAATGGAAGTGACAGGTCAAATTGAATTTCCTGGTCTGGGTCTTCCTGGCTTCTCAGGACCTCCTCCTCAGAGCAGTAGGCACCTGGCCACTGTGCAATTAGTGCATGAATGACCAAGACGTGGGATTCTGAAAGCAAAGGTGTGGCCTGTGTGCTGTTGCTCTTTCCCCCACTGTCCGTGGCAGACATCGCTAGTTGACCCCCAAACTCCCCCCCACCACAGGACCCAAATGTGGCCCCAGAATTCAACTCAGCATAGTTCTTCTAACAGTCCTAGCAGTCAATCAGTGCCAGCAAGTGAAATGAGGCCCTTTTGCCATTATGGGATTCTAATAAGTTTTCAGCTCGGAAATTCTAAGAATCAAGGGACATACTCTGTGCACAGTTGGCCCTGGCTGGGATGTTCTCACTATTGCCCACTGGGAGAGAGGCCAGCAGCTTCCAACAGGGCCAGAAAGGAAAGAGAGATTGGGCAGTGGCCCCAGGCAACTCCCCAGTTAATCATTTAGCTGTGGAGGTCAGGTGCTCGTGAAGCACACTCAGGATAGGGTCATAATGGGGCCCATTAAAAACCAATTACATGGAGTCCAGAGTCTGGGAGAGACTGCTGGTGTCAGCAGAGCCTCCTGGGCTCACCCCACTGGGTGTCATCCCTGGGGCTGGGACGGAGATCTGGGGAGGAGAGCACTGCCAGCTGTCTGGCATCACCCAAGGGCAGGAGGAGAAAAGACTGGGGGGTGAGCCAGAGCTGAGGGTGGTGGTGAAGAGCTGGGGGTGCGGCAGCCAACCTCCCCTCCAAGTAGAACTCGTTCTCAGGCTGCCTTCTGGGGCCAGCTGGTAAGCAGGTGAGCTGGAAAGGAGATGACCTTGGCCAGGAGGGGTGTGGCAGGCAGGGGCCGGTGGTGAGGGACCCTGAATGCCAGCATAGTGGCTGTGGGTCTGCTGGTTCCAGAGCAAGGAAAGTGACAGGCTGACCCTGGTGCAGCCAGTAGAGTCCCGTCTCCACATGGAAGCTCGGTTTCTCCATAGTAACGGGATGGATTGAACAGCGTGAGATGGAAAATGCTGTGAGGCTGTGGAAGCCATGCAGTGATTTAAGCAAGAGGTGAAGAAGGGAGAATAAAAAGAAAAACAATGTGTGTGGGAGCAGGGAGGCGTGGACCAAAGTGGTGGGGGAGATGTGGGGAGAGGAAGAGGCCACCCAGGTACTGACCCAGCTACCCGTGGACCCAGCACTGAGCTAAGTACCATATGCAGAGGGAGACCACTCGCCCTGGCTGAAGCTTGTTGCCCGAGAGTGTTTATTAATGGCCCTTCACTCTGGATTTCCTGGGTTAGGAGATGCTTTTTCTCCTAGCCCTGCTTAGGGTCCTTACCTCATCTTCCCGAAAAGTCTATGAGCAAAGTATTATTATTGCCACTTTTCAGAGAAGGCAATCTGAACCTCAGAGAGGTCCACTCACTTACCTGGCACTCCACAGCCAATAAGTGGAAGACGCAGGAGAACACTAATTGGCAGAACACTGGACTGGCAGCCAGCAGTCCTTGTGCCAGCACTGACAATCTGATTAACAGCACTTAATATGTGCCAGGAACTTACTGCTCTAAGTACTCCACGTGACTTGTTTCCCTTAATCGTTACAACTTGAGGAGGTGGCTACTAGCACAAATTCCCGTTTTTTCACCAGAAGACTGCGGTTCAGAGAGGTTCAGTCACTTGCCTCAGGTCACACAGCCCCAGTGATCGGTGAAGCTTGTGTTGGAACTGAAGCATGTGCCTCTGAAATCAGGTGCCCAATGCCTGTGGAAAGGAAGGCACACTTAGGGGCTTAGAGGGGGGTGGGGTGCGTGTGTTGTGGAGAGGGGCTGAGAGGAGTCCTGGGGTTATCTGAAGCACTTGATTCAGCAAACTGCCAACAACCCAACCCCGAAGAGCTCTTCTGGACTCATTTCACAGATGAGAAACAGAGGCCCAGAGAGAGGAAGCGACCTAACCCACACCCCACAGGGAGCCAGTGGCAGGTACTCCACCTAGGCCCAGGCCTGCTGCAGGAAGGAAGACAGGAAGGAAGGGCAGGTTTTGGAATGTGGCAGCCTGACAGAGGGGATTATGGGTGGGTGGGGGGCTGGGGTGTGGGCAGCTGGCAGGGCACAGGTGTTGATCCCCAGGGGCGTGCCAGGAAGCCGGGGAGTTTCCCTTTCACACCCTAGTTTCCGCCGAGGGACAAGGAGGGACATTCATTCATCCGACCAACATTCACTGAGCCTCTACTCTGCTCCAGGCCCTGAGCTGGGCTCTAACAACCCAGAGAGAATAAGACCCAGGCTTTGCCTTCTCGGGCCTCACAGTCCAGTGGAGGAGAGAGACATGTAAGCAAACAATTATGTCTGGGCTTCCCTGAGGCCTGATTAGAGACACTTATTAGTCCGGGCAGAACTGGAGCTGAGCACATGGAGGAGGTGACATCGGGTTTGTTTTGATAAGCGTTCTGGAAACCATCCCACATGCACATCTGTCTCCCGGCCTTGGACTGCCCTATAGGAAGGCTCCCATCCTCTGTGCCCGTGAACCCCCATGAGGGCTGAGGACACCAGTTAGGGCAAAACTAGGCTGTAATCTCCAGAAGAGTTGCCTTCTCCCATGGGACCCTGGCCCCACACCACCCCCAGCCCTGACAGCCCACAAATGTCAGGTCACCAGAGTGTGATGCTCACGGGTACAGATGGCTCAAGCACCAGAGCAGTGACCCCCTGGGTCAGGGCAGATGTTGCGTGGGTAGGGGTAACAGGTCAGGATTTCTCAGTGACAGCCCTCTGCAAAGCCAACAAGGACCAAAAGGAAGAGTTGTGTTTGGTGAGAGTAATGGAAAGGGAGAGCGGAGACAAATGGGGGGAAATGGGGAGAAAAAAGCCTATGGTTCAGCAGAAGGGAGCACTTTTTAACATCAGGGTGGAGAACAAGCTGCTTCTGCGGTATGCAGGCTGGAACTCTAATCCTGCATCCACCGAGAATTCAGAGGAGGGACTTTGACTCTGGCAGGAAGTAGTAAGAGAGATGGTCTTTGAGATTTAGGGATAATGATGATAATGGCTGTTGTGATTCATTCCTCCCGCTCTTGCCCCACTGTGATAAGGCCACAGATGCCCAGAAGGGAGGTGGGAGCTGGTTTGGGCTGTGACTGGAAAAGGTAAAGCCAAGGTGGGATCCTTGGGACTTGAACCCATGACCCAGAGCCCAGGGACTCTTTTTACCTCCTAACCACCCCCCTTGCAAGAATCCCTGGGGCGTGCCAGCGCTAAGATAATTATCACCCAGTAAACTTATCCCCTGCTCCTCACTCATCCCTTAAAACAAAACAAAAACAAAAAACAAACCATGCATCCTGTTCTGGCCTGTCCCCTATAGTGTGTGGCTTGACTTAGTGTCCCCGGGGAGGAAGTCCCTTTCTTCCCATCTCCGGGTCTCACTGTTTGGTCAGTAAAATGCAGCCCTGGGCTTCTTCTTTTTTTTTTTTTTTAAGATTTATTTATCCATGAGAGACACAAAGAGAGGCAGACATAGAGGCAGAGGGAGAAACAGGCACCCCCAGGGACAGCTCAGTGCAGGACTAGAACCTGGGACTCCGGGATCACACCCTGAGCTGAAGGCTGATGCTCACCCACTGAGCCACCCAAGGCATCCCCAGCACTGGGCTTCTAATGGCCGTTCCAGCTCCACTGCTGGCAGTCCCATGTACGAGGTAACTGGAGCTCCTGCCTGTGTGTGCAGACAAAACAGAGGCCACCTGAGCTCAAATTTCAGGGACTTGAGAAGGTTCCTGACCAAGGACTACTGGGGCTAAATTGGTGGCAGGCTTCCCCATCTTACTTTCAGATGTGAGAATTAGCCAGCTAGTGGGAAGTCCCTGGCACTGCAGTTACGGCTCCCACCAGACAGGACGCTGTTGGAACCAGTCCTTGCTCATCCACCTTGCTCATAAGGGCTGTAGGAGCTCCCAAGCTTCGGACTATCATGTCAGCTGTGTAAGTTCCCATTCACATGTTCGGTCATTATCCCCAAATCAGGATGCCAGGCAAGGGCTTTCAGCCTAGTCAGAGCTAGCTAGAACCAGCCTCTTCCATGACCCTCAGGCCTGGGTATGGAAACTGTAGCACCAGCTCACTTCTTCATAAGTGAACACCAGTTGGAAGGCTGTTGCCGTCTAGACAAGAAAGATGTCCATAGCTTGGCCCAGGGTAGTGATGGAAAACGAGGTGTGTGATGGGCTTGAGGAAGGATTTGGAGGTGGCCACAATTGGACTTCATGATTGGATCGGATAAGGGATGTGAGAGCAAAGGGGAAATCAAAGATTCCTTGGTTTGGACCTGAGTGCCAGGTGAGATGTCATCTACCAACACGCAGGTGAGTAGGGATTTGAAGATGGAGTGGAGAAGAAATCCAGATTTCTGCTTTGAGTGTGTTAGGCTGGATTTGCCTAGAAGACCGCCCAATGGAGATTTCAAGTAGATGGTTGAATATATTGTTTGGGCTTCAGGGAGAAATCACAGTGGAAATGTAAACTTAGTGGTATCAGCAGCAGACCTCCAACCAAGACTGCTTAGAAGCCTTGCAGTCTGACTGTGGCTGGGGCGCAATCATCATGGAGGCTTCTTCCTGCTGTATCCAGTGACTGGGCTCCTCAGACATCTCTATCTTGGTCTCTCTTCAGGTCCTCCCCAGCATGGTGGCTTCCATGTTGCTGCATTTTATCAGATAGAGAGATGATAGACCGATAGATCAATACAGAGGACAGAGAGAGAGTTTTATTAAGGAACTGGCTTACACGATTATAGAGACTGGCAAGTCCAGAATCTGTAGGGCAGGCTGGCAGGCTAGAGATTCAAGGAAGAGTTACAGTTCCACTGGGAGTCCAAAGGTAGTCTGCTGGCAGCATTGCTTCTTGCTCAGGGATGGTTGGTCTTTGTTCTACTAAGCCCTTAACTGAATAGATGAGGCCCACCCACATGAGGGAGGGTAATCTGCTTTATTTCAAGTCTACCAATTTAACTTTAATCTCATCCACAAAACACGTTCACAAAAAAACACCTGGAAAAATGTTTGACCAAATATCTGAGCACCGTGGCCCAGCCAGATTGATACATAAAATTAATCATCATGTCATGTGACAAGAGAAGGAACAAAATAGACATTTGGTGAGAGCCTGATATATGCCAAGTGCTTTCCACACATCATCTTATTCAATCTGATTATTAAAGCTGAGAGAAGGGCAGCCCGGGTGGCTCAGTGGTTTAGCACCGCCTTCACCCCAGGGTGTGATCCTGGGGACCCGGGATCAAGTCCCACGTCAGGCTCCCTGCATGGAGCCTGCTTCTCCCTCTGCCTGTGTCTCTGCCTCTCTCTTTCTCTGTGTCTCTCATGAATAAATAAATAAATAAAATTAAAAAAAAAAGCTGAGAGAAAGCCATTATTACACCCATTTTATGGACAAGAGACGTTAAATCAGGCTGAAGGATACACATAAGCACATGGCATATCTAGGATGCTGACCCACGTTTAAGCGACTCTGGGATGTGCTACTGTAGGAGCCAAGGGTGGGGAAATGAGTGATGACCTTTTGGACAGGGGAGCTGGCCTCCCAGTGGAGGTCTCAAAACCAGGCTGAGGAGCTAAGAGTCTTCCTTGAGGGAGGAGAAGCACCCCCAAGAAGTCATGGAAGCCAGGAGGTACAGTAGCTACATTTGCACTGTTAACTGGTCCATAATCGTTAGATGCTAATGAGTAATCCTGGGACCAGATCCATTCCAGCTATGGTGGAAGGTTGGGAAGAATTTGTTGTAGGACTTCTCCAGGCCTCCCAGGCTGTGTGGAGGGCTTAGACTTGGCCTTGCCCATGGGAGGAGGCAGAGGGTAAGCAGGAAAAGGGACAGAAACCTGTGGTATCAGAGTGTAGGTCCTACCTTCCCCAGAAAGATGAAAGAACATGGCACTTGCTTAGTGCCTTCTATATGCAAAATGCCACACCACTGGATTTCCTGGGGCAAGGGGGCAGTCTTCATGGATGAATCCTTCCAAGAATCCTGTGAGGTAGGTGCTATCATGGCCCCCATTTTTTAGATCAGGACCATGAGACTCAGAAAGGTGAGGTGACTTGTCTAAGGGCAAGAGAGACGATAACTGGGGTCAGACCAGGTTTGCTGGCTCTAAATCCTGTATTTGCCCCATTCCACACCCCAGTGATTTAAGAGTTGATAATTCCTGGTTTCGGCCCTTGATCACCAGAGAGGCAAGATAGCATGGAACCCTGGCACCACCCATACAAGCTGTGTGACCTTTGTAAAGTTACTTTACCTCTCTGTGCCTGAGTTTTCTCATATGTAAAATGAGGGGTAATAATAGTATTTACCTCAAGCTTAGTGACAGGATTAACTGAATTTATAAATGTAAATCACAGAAGATAATGTCTAATTCATGGTGTGTGTTAAATATATATGGATTAGGTATTCATCTTATTATCTATCATACTTGGGGGGCAGGGTGGCTTTCACATCACCTGGCACAGTCTTATCAGGCCTCTGAGTTAGGATTTACATATTGGAAAGAAGTTGAATGTTATTGTTGAAGAAGAGTCCTAAAGATTTATCCAGACACCAGAGGTGCATGTTGAAAAGTTTAGCAGGTATGAACTGACAACCCAAACTTGGAAGTGAAAAATGTGTCATGGGATGCCTGGGTGGCTCAGTCAGTTAAGTATCCAACTCTTGATTTTGGCTCAGGTCGTGATCTCAGGGTCATGAGATGGAGCCCAGCATGGGGCTCTGCACTGGGTGTAAAGCCCACTTAAGATTCTCTCTCTCTCTCTCCCTCTCCCTTTACCCCTCTCCCTCTATAAAAAGGAAGGCAGGAAGGGAGGGAGGGATGGTGGGAGGAAATTCACATTTACTGATACTACTTAAATAAAATCTAACTTTGAGTTCTGATGCCACTGAGCTTGTTGGGAAATTCTACCCCAGTTATTCCTATGGCCCCCGAATGTTTCAATTATCTATTGCCATATAACAAGCCACCCCAACACTTAGAGGCTTAAAACAACAGCTATCATTCTCTCACTCACAAACCCGCCATCTGGGCAGAGCTCAGTGGGGACAGCTTGCTTCTGCTTCATTTGGGATCGGTGGAGGCAGCATGACCAGAGGTTGGAGCATTTGCTCACAAGATGGCTCAGTCCCACGGCTGCCAAGTTGGCGCCGGCTGTCAGCTGGGCGCTCGGGGGGCTGTGGGTTGGGGGTCAGGCTAAGAGCAATGGCTCAGTATTTGCTAATTCCGTGTTCACGGACACTTTAAGGAACGTAGCTACTGCGAATAACGAATACAGGGAATAAAAAGGAATAATACAGTGGATAAAAAAGAAGCTGCAGGAGCAAATGACTGGCCGGTGGAAGCAGGTGGGAGGACAAGACAGCGCAGGGGAGAAGCATGTCAAGGGCTCCGCCTCACCTCCCTGCCCTTGCCCTACTCAGGGGTCAGAGTCACCGAGGTGGACTGGCACAGCCGGAAAAATGGTGCTGCCCACCACACCCAGGAGTACCCCGGCCCTGAGCTGGTGGTTCGCAGGGGCCAGGTGTTCACCTTGCGGCTGGAGCTGAGCAGACCCCTGGAGGACCCGGAGACCATCATCTTCACCGTGGAGACAGGTACCTGTCTCGCCAGCGCCCCGCGCTGGTCTACATCCAGAAAGATCTGTCCTGTGACCAGTGATCTGAGACCTCTTGGTCATCAACCCAGACTGGAGGGAAGCAGGTCCCAACCCCTGCAGGTGGGCGAGCTCTGACCCCCTGGAGGCTCCTGATGACACTTGCTGAGGATGGCTGGCAGGTACTGCCAGCAGGTGATGGGACAGATGCCACAGCTCTGGAATTTTCTGCCTACTAAGGAATCCTAGGGCTCTGGAAAACTGTGGAAATTCTTCAGATACCTTTGGGGCCCAAGCTTTTCTTTCCTTTTTTTTTTTTTTTTAAGATTTTATTTACTTATTCATGACAGACTCACAGAGAGAAAGAGAGGCAGAGACACAGGCAGAGGGAGAAGCAGGCTCCACTCAGGGAGCCCGACGTGGGACTCGATCCCGGGTCTCCAGGATCACGCCCTGGGCTGAAGGCGGCGCTAAACCGCTGGGCCACCAGGGCTGCCCGCTTTTCTTTCCTTGACAGACTTTGGCAGACTTTGGTTTCAGGGGTCCTGTTACTTTCTCCTAGATCCAGGAGGTGGGTGGGACATGGGGACAGTGGAGGTGGCCCCCAACAGTGTCCTGGCAATTCAGGAAGTGAACATTGCAGTGGATTCCAGGCTTGTAGCTTTTCTTTTCTTCCCTAGAGCTGGGTTTCCTAGGGGCACCTGGATCTCCCAATTCCCTCTCCTCTCTGCCAGGACCCCAGGCATCTGAGGACTGCCACACCAAAGCTGTGTTCCAGATATCGGAGCCGGATGTGGGCCAGAACTGGACAGTGGTGGAGGAGGCTCAGACGGAGAACACCATGACCGTCAGCATCACCAGCCCTCCCAACGCTGTCATTGGCCGCTACCTGATGAGGACCAGGGTCTCCTCTCGCCGAAAGCAAAATGACCGGAAGCTGGGCGAATTTGTTCTCCTTTTCAACCCGTGGTGCCCAGGTAGGAGCTGGCAAGTCCAAGGCAGAGGATTTCCTGGAAGCTGTCCTAGAGGTGGGCCCGCCCTTAGCAGGGGATCTGGGAGGCAGGCTAAGCAACAGGCAGGTGAATGCCAAAACAGCTGGGCCTAGGCAGAGGTGAGCCCTGGGCAGAGGAACCTGGTAGCAGGTGCTTCAAAGGATCCTATGCCAGCGGGCAGGGATCAGTGGTTTCCAGTATGCGGGGGCAGTCGGCAAGCATGGGGCCTTGTCGGAGGAGAGCCCCAAGCTCTTGCCATCAGCAGCCTTGGTTTAGTCCCCGTGCTGCTAAGTCGCCTCCCTCCATGAGTCCTGGTTTCCCCATCTGTGATGTGGGAGTAATAACAGGGCCTACCCCTTGGGATAATGGTGAGAAATCATAGTACTAATGCTTGTGATGTACACAGGACATGGTAAGGAGTACTGGGGTCAGTACTCTTATTAATATCTAAGAAACATGAGGCTGCTGTCGGCATCAAGCAGGGTCATCTTGCTAAAGTCCCTCAGTCTGGGGCTGGGTGGGGGTGTCCTCGCCTGGGTAATGGACTCCCCTTGGTGGAATGGGGCTTGGCCAGAAGGCAGTCCGGGAGCCCGCCAGCCCCTCTTGCCCTCCCTGTCCCAAGTTTCCAGGCACTCCCCGATGTAGCCCCTGCCCCAGGCCTGCAAGGCCAGAGAGCTCCAGCCCAAGCTGGGCCTGACAACTGCTTTTCAGAGGACGACGTGTTTCTGGACTCAGAGGAGGAGAGACAGGAGTACGTGCTGAACGACAGTGGGATCATCTTCCGAGGCGTGGAGAAACACATCCGAGCCCAGGGCTGGAACTACGGGCAGGTCTCCAGGGGCACAGGCTAGCAGGGGGAGGCAGGCTGGGGTATGCAGAAAGTCAGCGCAGGAGCCCTTGAGCCTGCTCACTTCCTCCCGGCAGGGACAAGCGAGGCCCACCCCTAGAGCAAATCCGCTCATTCACTACTCTTAGCTGTGCCGAGGCCTGCGCTGGGTCCTTGGACGGGGAGGTGCTTTGGATGCAGCGCAGTACAGAAGAATAAATAGCTTCAGAGCCCGGGGGGTGGGGGTGGGGTTGGTTCTCAGTCTTGGGCAAGCTCCTGAGTCCCAGGGAGGGCTCTTCAAAACACACAGGTGGCTGGGCCCCACCCAGAGGCACTGATTCAGGAGACTTGGGGTGCGGCCTGAGAATGTGCATTTCGGTCAAGGTGGTCCTGCTGCTGCTGGTCTGGGACCACGCTTCAGAGCCACTGGCCAGATAAATAGTTACAGTAGAACATGTGATGGCGGAGGGGACATGGGGGCATCAGAGTGGCAGAGAAGGGGGCAGAAGGAAGTCAGAAGAGTGTTAAAACCCCACCTCAGGGATTGTGGAGGCTTCATGGTCTTGGGGCTGAGTGTGGAGCTGGGCACAACGTGACGAGGCAGAGGGCAGAGCCCACAGCCACATGGTGGTGGGAGTCAGGGAGCAGAGGAGGACTGCAAGAGGACTAGGTGCTGCCTGGCCTTCAGGTGCCCTGAAAAAAAGGTTGGCTGGGCAAGTCCAGGACCCTGACTATCAGGCAGAGCAGCTGGAAGTTAGTCTGGGGTTCGGACGAGGTCCTGGAGAGTTTAGGGTCCACTTAAGGGGTAACCACTCCTCAGCACCCACCTCTTCTGACCCCATATGAAAGTGAACCCAGGGCTCCCCACACCTTCCAAAGAACCTTCAGAGACCAGAAATCTTAATTTGTATGCAAAGATCCTCCAGTTCTGAAATGTTGTCAATTCATGCAAATGTATTTGAAAAAAGTCATTTAAACAGAAGGAGTGTGCCAGCAGGAGAGATGCGGCTCCAGGGTCACCAGCTTACCACGAACTTTACCATGGGTAGTGGGGAGTCTTGGGGGTGGTTACTGAACAGGGGGGGACATGATTACGGTGGAGTTTCTGGCTACCAGTGACTCTTTGAGGGAGGGTTTCTGAGACTTGGGATGCTCTGTGGTGTTCCTGGGTGGAAGTAGGCAAATTTCCCTGCAAAACACAAGGGACCTATTGGGCAAGCATCGTGTGCGGGAGGGCCTGGAATGCGGGTGAAGCTCTGGCCTCTAAGCACAGCCTCTCTGCGGACAGTTTGAGGAGGAGATCCTGAACATCTGCCTCTCCATCCTGGACCGAAGTCCTCTTCACCAAAACGACCCAGCCACCGACGTGTCCCACCGCCACGACCCCATCTATGTAACCAGGGCAATCAGCGCCATGGTAAGGAGCCCCACCGTTCCCTGCACACAGTCTTCCTCATGGGCCCCTGAGCCAACCCCAGGATCACACCCTATGATCTTCCCAAGTCACATTTTGTTTTAATTCTCTATCACTGTCGCAAACCACAACCAAAACTCAGTGGCGCAAAACAACCACTTACTATGCTTACAGTTTTATAGATCAGGGACTTGGGCCGAGCACCATGAGAACGGCTTGTCTGCTCCAAGATGCTTTGGCTGGGGGTGTCTGAACACCTGCAGGTGGCTGCAATGGTTTCATGAGACCATATATCTGGAGCCTTGGTTCTACTGGTCAGTAGTGGTTCTTTGGTTCTCTTCCATGCTGTGTCTGCTGGAGCTGGAATGTCAAGGTGGCTTGCTTGGGATCGTTTTTGGCTCCTGCTCTGGGCTGGCTAGAACAGCTGAGGTTGGGTGGGCATGGCTCTCTCTCCATGCAGCCTTCCCACGTGGCCAGCTTGGGCTTCCCCACAGCATGGTGATCTCAGCGTAATCAGACACAGCAGCTGGCTTCTCGCTGAAACAATTGTTCCAAAACAGAAAAACTGGAAGCTTCGAGTCGCACACAGAAATCCTGGGCCTGGAAACTGGCGCAGCTTCCCTTCTCCCATAGTCATCAGTCAGAGCAGTCACGGGCCATCCCAGACTCAGGGAGGGGATACACAGGCCCAACTCGCCACCAGAGGAGGCCCGTCTTTATTCTGTTTCACACAGTAATGCTTCTTCCTCCTCAAAAGATAGCCAGAAGGCCTACTGTAAGCAGGTGCTAAGATAAGTGGGTGGATATCTGTGATTCCAGGAATGTATGAAGCTATTTTCCTCAGAGTTGATACACTTCATTCCTCGAGACCTTAGAGAAATGTTGAAAAACAGAGACTCAAAAGCTGTGACCAGTTCCAGACAGTGGAGTGTCACAGCCCTGTGGGGCTCTAAGTCAAAAGTCCTAAACTTGGGGCTCACCCACCCTTTTGCTAACCTGCTGTGTGACTTGGATGGGTCCCTCAACCCCTTTGAATCTGTCTTCTCGTATGAAAAAAAAAAAAAAGAAAGAAAGAAAATAACAAAATCTACTTTGAAATGGGTTGTTATGGTATGCACGAAGCCCTTGGAATAGGGTCTGCACACAATAAACAGTTAATAAATATTAGCTGCCTCTATAATTATACTACCAACGGCCCCCCAAATAGGTCATTTAAAAGAAGAAATGCTGTAAAATCATAGGTAGTTTCCAACAATAGGGTATCCCAATGGAAGGTAATTAAAAACAATAAATGGTACCCAAAGTAGGTATTTTAAGACAGCAGATGCCTCCAGTTTTCAGATAGTTTAAAAGTAAGAGGTGACCCTGAATGACTGGTACAAATTGTGAGATGCTTTTACAGTGGCATCGTAAGTAAGTGGTCCCGAGGAGGGAAGCCTTGCCTGGTGGTGGACCCTTGGCCTCCTCTGCCCAGGTGAACAGCAACAATGACAGGGGCGTTGTTCAAGGCCAGTGGCAGGGCAAGTACGGCGGCGGCACCAGCCCCCTGCACTGGAGCGGCAGCGTGGCCATTCTGCACAAGTGGTTCAAGGGCAGGTTCAAGCCTGTCAAATATGGCCAGTGCTGGGTCTTCGCTGGAGTCATGTGCACAGGTACCCAGGGAAATGTCCCCTGACCCCAAGCCAGCTCCATCATCTGCCTTCGTTTGCATACATGTGCACAGACCCCACCCCAAGTTTTTCCCCTATTGGTGATGGGGAAATAGGAGTCTGGTTGCTGATGAAAGAAACCAAATAGTTAAGTTCATTTGTGTGACTTTGGATCTTTTATTTTGCCCCCTTCCGCCTCCTGGGGGGTCCCTTCCGCCTCCTGGGGGGCTCCTGCTCTTCAGTCCTTAGATGCCTGGGGATCGCCACCCGAGTCGTGTCCAACTTTAACTCGGCCCATGACACGGACAGGAACCTGAGCGTGGACAAATACGTGGACTCCTTCGGGCGGACCTTGGAGGACCTGACAGAGGACAGCATGTGGTGGGTGCTAGTCCCCCGGGTCCCCAGCCTGTGTGCAGGAGGGATGGCCCCGGGACACATGACCCAGAGGCCCAGGTGGGGGGCCTGGAGATTTGGCTGCCCTGAAGCCCAGGGCGCCCTCCGTGGGACTGAGCCTTCCCCGAGATTCCCTATGCATGATCACCCCTGTGTCCTGCCTCAGCTTCTTTGTCTGCTGTCTCGGGCCATGTGTGTGTCTCAGCCCTGGCAAGACTCTTCCCACAGGCTTTACACAATTCATTTTATTTTTTAATTTTATTTATTTATTTGAGAGAGAGAGAGAGACAGTGACAGAAATAGCAAGAAAGGGGAGGAAAGGGAGAAGCAGAGCCTCTGCTGAGCAGGGAGCCCAACGCAGGGCTGGACACAGGGCTGGACACAGGGCTGGACACAGGGCTCCAAGCCAGGACCCTGGGATCATGACCCGAGCCAAGGGTAGACGCTCAACCACTGACCCACTCGGACATCGCTAAACAATTCATTTTAATGTGATTTTTTAAATAGGAAAGACACGCATGTGCGTTAATATTCAAAAGGTACCAAATGGGTTATATAGTGATGTCTCCCCCGACCGGGTTCCCGCCTCCTGTCCTCACGGAGGCAGCGCGGCCACTAGCTTCTTACACCTCTTCACAGGGAGGCTCTGCAGACTCAAGGACATACATACTCACAGTCCCTTCACTCCTCCACTTTTTACCGACTCAGTATTAGCAGCATAATGTAATGCTGTTCATCTTGCACCAAAACAAAAACAAAATATCTTGTCTTTTGATGTTGGGACCCCTGTCACCACAGAGGTTATCAGTTTACCCCCAAGTGCTTATCCAAATATTCTCCCACACAAAGACCACTGCCTCCTGGAGAGGAGTCCTGAGGTCAGCTATAAAGATGCCATGTCAGGCAAACCTGGGGTTTCTCTTTCCTGCTTCCTTGCGGTGTGACCTTGTGCAAATAATGTTGCTTTGCTAGTCTCATGTTCTCATCTTTAACACAGGAAACTTCAAGTCTGAATTCTTTACCAAGGTTTCCAGGACCTACAGAGCTCTGCATAGTTTGACCCCTCCCTAACCCCATACTGGCTGAAGCCCAGAGATACTTACAATACTTTCAGTTCCCTAAAGACACAAAGCTTTTCTTATCTCAGAGTCTTTGCACATGCTGTTCCTTCTGCCTGGAACACTATTCCCTTCACTCTTCCAATGGCTAATCCTTTCTTATTTTTTTGTAAAGATTTTATTTATTTATTCATGAGACACACAGAGAAAGAGAGGCAGAGACACAGGCAGAGAAAGAACCAGGCTCCATGCAGGGAACCTGATGTGGGACATGATCCCAGGACTCCAGGATCATGCCCTGGGCCAAAGGCAGGTACTAAACCGCTGAGCCACCCAGGGATCCCCTAATCCTTTCTTATTTAAGCCTCATCTTAGATGTCATTTTCCTAGAGCAGGTTTCCAGTAGTCACTTGCCATTCAGGTCTCTTTTTTCACAGCATTTATTGGTACTTGTATTTGTTTTCTCTATCTGCTTACCTACTTTTGCCTGTCTCCCTAACCTTCTCCTTTATTAGAATGTAAGCTGCATGAGGGCAAAATGTTCTGTCTTCTTTGTGATTGTATTTGTACCTTGAACAACACATATGTGCACACACACATACATATACCTACATATATATAGAATATATATACACACATATATATACATACCTAGAGTTTGGGGCCAGGGCCTGGCTCACAATAGGAACTTGCCATCCCATGGGCCTCTGTACTCACTGAAGGCCATCCTTCCCCATCTTCTCTCTGTGGCAGGAATTTCCACGTCTGGAATGAGAGTTGGTTCGCCCGCCGGGACCTGGGCCCCTCTTACAATGGTTGGCAGGTTCTGGACGCCACCCCCCAGGAGGAGAGTGAAGGTATGGGCTCAGCCTGGAAGACCCCGGACCCCCACTCCCCTTCACCCTTGCTGCTCACACCCATCCCTCCTGCCCAGGCATGTTCCGGTGCGGCCCAGCCTCCGTCACTGCCATCCGAGAGGGCGACGTGCACCTGGCCCACGATGGCCCCTTTGTGTTCGCGGAGGTCAACGCAGATTACATCACCTGGCTCTGGCACGAGGATGAGAGCCGGGAGCGGGTGTACTCGGACACCAAGAAGATTGGGAGTTGCATTAGCACCAAGGCCGTGGGCAGTGACTCCCGCGTGGACATCACGGGCCTCTACAAGTATCCAGAAGGTAAGGGCAATAGGGCGGCCCCCATCAGCCCCCCAAGATGTCCTGTCTGCCACAGAGGGCCCACCGCAGACCAGCCTGGGCCGGGCCCTGCCCTGTGTGTTGTGATGGTGAGGGGAGCACCCATTACCCGGCTCTAGACCATCCCTGCCATGTAGACAGTGGGAAGGGAGTGTGATTAACAACATGGATATGGAGCCATACTGCCTGGGTTCAAATCTCGAGTCTCTTCTGAGTCACTTTACTTCTCTGTGCCCCTGGTTCCTTATCTATAAAATGTGGATGATGGTAGCACCGACTTCCTAGGGGGAAAATATAGCACCTGGAACTGCGGTGCCTGGCACATAGCAAGTCTACAAAAATGTGGGCAGTCCTCATCAGATGAGTCTTCAGCCCCAGCTGGCAGAGAAGTTGCAGACCTGTATTTTTGTGCGAAATTGCCCAATATGAAGTCTTTGATGATTGATTTAAAATGTATTAAAATAGTCCCCAAACCAAACACAGTGCCTATGGCCGTGGTGTGCACCTGGCTTCTGGGCTGTCCATCGGAGCCCTTCCAGGCGTGGTGGATTGAAGTGGTGAAGGAGTGGTGGTTTTCTGTGGGGAGGAGGTGAGATGGCACAAGAGAAGCCGGGGGACGGGACGGGAGGAGCAGGAAAGGGGCACCCGCCTCACCAGGTGCGATGCCCCCAGGGTCCCGGAAGGAGAGGCAGGTGTACCGTAAGGCCGTGAGGAAGCTGTTCGGCGTGGAAGCCCCCAGGAGGAGGACCCGGGTCCGCAGGGCAGGCAGCCGTGGGCTGTGGCGCGAGGACCTCATGGAGCCTGCCACCAAGCCCAGTGTCACCGGCAAGTTCAAGATGCTGGAGCCACCCATGCTGGGCCACGACCTGAGACTGGCTCTGTGCTTAGCTAACCTCACCTCCCGGGCCCAGAGGGTCCGGGTCAACCTGAGCGGTGCCACCATCCTATACACCCGCAGACCGGTGGCCGAGATCCTGCACGAGTCCCACACGGTGCGACTGGGGCCCGAAGAAGGTAGGGGGGCCGCCGCCCAGGGGGGGCATGGAGATGGGGACTGGCCAGCCTGACCCCTCTCTACGGGGACCAAGCGGGACTTCCTAGCAAGCTGTGCTCATTCCCAGGAAAGACAGGGATGTCTCTGAGCATTTGATCAGTGCTTTGCCTCCTGTTCCCCACCTGACAGGTGAGAAAGTGGAGTTCAGAGGCGCTAACTAATGAGACTAGTAGTAAAAGTCCATGATCATCTGGTGGCAAACTTGAGTGCAGGTGAGGTGATCTCAAGCCATGTGAATATTGACTCCCCGGACAAATACCTGCTGGGAGCATTTCACAACCTATGGAATATGCCTTGTCACCTTTCTAAAATCCACCATGTTCTGCAGCCCACCTGGCTGCAGGTGTCCTGTACGAGAGGCATGGACCAGTAAGAACCAGCTACTAAGTGCTCACATGTGCCAGGCTCTGTCCTGAAAATTCTAAATGCATCTACTGCCATCCCCACAGCATTCTCTGTCCTTGCACCCTTCCCTCCTGTTTCTCTCTCTCTCTCTCTCTCTCTCTCTCCCCCACCCCCTTGCTCCCTCTCTGTCCTCACATAACATTCTGAACTCTAAGGATTCAATTAAACAAAGAAACTGTTCCTCTGAGCCCAGTTTCTGGTGAAGCTCATGTGTTTTGACGGAGGGAAAACATGTGAAGGAGATGTCACACACCTTTTCATTTTTTTTTTGCTCCCTTATTCTTCACAAAATCCAAATTGCAAAATAACGCTGCGTAGGGAAATGTTAATTAACGTGCACTTTCTCCTGGCTTTTTTTTTTTTTCATATTAAAAGTAACACACATTCCTTAAAGATTTCGAGGGCACAGAGCAAGATCACCTGTGATCCTACCACCCACCTCCAGATTATTAACATATTTTCCTTCCAGTTTTAATGCCTGTTGCTTTTTGCCAAACAGATCTGATTACACTGTGAGAACTCAGTGTTTATTGGTGTCTCTCTCAGTTCACATCACATTGTTATTCAAATATTTTTATAAGCTCTTCATCCACATCATTTTAATAGATGTGTAATCTTTAAATAAATATACAGATAGTTCTTTTTACATGTTGTGGGATTAAATTTGCTAATGTTTTATTGAGTAGCCTTAGAATTTGCATTTCTAACAAGTTCCCAGGTCATGCTGATGCCCCTGGTCCCAGGACCATGCTTTGAAACCACCAATTTCCCGCCACGCAAGGAGTAAATGATAGAACATATATAAAGTGTTTGGTGTAATTCTGACCACCTAAGGGACATAAAATTTATTGTAGGGATTGATAGCATTATTGATATTATGAGTTGGGGATAATGATACTTGCTCATGAAATTGTTGTAAGGATTGAATGAGTTCATCAATGAATGTGCTTCCAAGTGCCCAGCAGTAAAAGTTAGTAAAAGTTAGCTTTCGTAATTATTCATTGTCGCTCTTGTTGTATTAAGGATTCACCTAGTCATGACCTACTGGACTAAGGAAACCCATACAGCAATGTAGAGTTTTGACATATGGATCAGCATTTGGGCATTCAAGAAGCATCTAATATATGCAAAGCTCTAGGGGAACATAAAGTGAACCAGGTTCAAATCCTTTAAGGACTTTTTCCACAGGTTGAAAACCAATGCCCTCAGGGGCAGGAAGGAAACAGAAATAGGGGAAGAACAGCAGAGGGTGGTCAGGCCGGGAGCAAATCAGATACGTTGTACCCATTTGTACCTAAAGGAAAAATACAATGGTCCAAAAACACCCAAATATAACTGGTAGTCCGCTGTGCTCTGTGGTTACCCATGTTCAAGGGAAAGAAATACACAGGCAGGGTATCTGCGGCTGGTGAGAGCGCCAGATGTCAAGGACCACAGGAGCTCAGCAGGCAAAGGACACGAGATCACTGAGTGGGGTATCCATGAAGGCTTCCCATTTTGGGGGCTGACTCAGATGGGCCTTAATGGGGAGGGAGGATTTGGAGAAGCTGCCAAGAAGTTGGCCTTTTTACTGGATTGGAAGCTTGAGGCCGACCTTTGACTCTCCTCCCTTCGCTGCACCCGGCACACCGTGCACACCGTAGGTCCTCAATAAACAGTGAATGGATTCCTGTTAATGGTCTGAGAGATTTGCATCTGGAATGATTAGGGAAAGGTTAAGCACAATTCCAGGAGTTTTTGGAGAAACTGCCAGGTGTCATGGTAGCCGACTGGCCAGAATTTGAATCCCATCTCATCTTGGCTCCTTGATTTACTTGCTGTGTGACATTGGACCAGAAACTAACCTCTCTGAGGCTTAGGTATCTTCATCCGTGAACTGACAATAATATAATAGTGTTCATCTCACATTGGTGGCAAGGACCAAAGGAGGAATGGAGCCTTCCCTTCTTCCCCCCGATTCAGCTGAAAAAGAGTATCAGACCCCTAACTCCCACCTCTGCTTTCCCTTCCAGAGAAAAAGATTCCAATCACAATATCTTACTCGCAATATAAGGAAGACCTGACAGAGGACAAGAAGATCCTGTTGGCTGCCATGTGCTTTGTCACCAAAGGAGAGAAGCTCCTGGTGGAGAAGGACATTACTCTGGAGGACTTCATCACCATCAAGGTGAGTCCTGTCTGCCTCCTTTTCCTGGCAGGCCCCCTACACGGCTTGGGGAGAGCATCAGAGGCTGGGGGTTTTGTGCTTTTAGATCCAGCTTCGGTTCTCAAGGGCAGAGAGAAGCGGCGTGGATGCAGGGGGCTAGATATAATGATGGAGCTCAGTAGGAGGGCAGATGGATGCAAGGGGTAACCATGATTCCTGCCCACACCAGGCTCCAGCCAGTGTTCCTGCTGGGACCCATGGGTTTCTTGGGGGAGCGTGCAGGGGGACAATGACTTATGGGGATTACCCCTCCAGGTGCTGGGCCCCGCCGTGGTGGGGGTGGAGGTTGTTGTGAAAGTGACGCTGATCAACCCCCTCCTGGAGAGAGTGGAGGACTGTGTGCTGATGGTGGAGGGCAGTGGCCTTCTCCAGGGACAGCTCAGCATCGAGTAAGTGTCAGCCTGGGAGTGGGAGCCTTCCTTATAGGATGGGCCATGGAAAAGCGACCAACGGAGGGCAGTGCAGGAGACTCTGGGCCTCCAGGAACCAGCTCATGACCTAGACACACCAGCCTCCATCTATTTATTTCTTCCTTCATTGATTTAGTCATTAGTTCAGGTGTATAACTCACCCAGTCATCCCCTCACTCATTCACGTGACCCTTAATCACATGATCAGAATGACCTGTTCTCTGAGCCACTTGGTGACCTTTGGGAACACCGGGATGAACAGACAGGGCTCTGCTGGAAGAAGTGTTCTCACAGACGGGACCGTCAAATGAGGACAGTGCGATGTGTGCGGAGGGATGGATCCCTGGGGCCCAGGGAATCAGGGACAGCCCTTGAATGGGGATGGGGTGGAACAGGGAAGGGCCACAGTGGAGCTGGGCCTTACATGATGAATCGAGAAGCTTTTCAGGTATGGAGCAGGATGGAAGGCTTCCCAGTCAGAGGTCTCCATGGCTAGGGTAGTCAGGGAGGGTCTCCTAGAAGAAGAGAGATGTGATCTTGTCCTTGGGTGTGATTGGAATGGGAAGGACATCCGATGTGGGAGGAACGGTGCAGGCGGAAGCCCAGAGAGAGGAGGTGTAAGATATGGTCAGGGCACAGGCCTGGCTGGCTGGAAAGAATGAGGAGTGGTGGCAGGGAAACAGAAGCTAGAAGCATATTGACAGGGCTTGAATGTCGGTCTCAAGGTGTGACCTTGATCCCAAGGGCTCTGGAGAGGGCAGGCCAGATGCGGAAGGAGAGGGGGGCTGACGGTCTGCCTTTGTACCATCCCCTTCCCCAGCGTGCCAAGCCTGGAGCCCCAGGAGAAGGCTTCCGTCCAGTTCAGCATCACCCCGTCCAAGAGCGGCCCGAGGCAACTGCAGGTGGATCTCATCAGCCCCCACTTCCCAGACGTCAAGGGCTTTGTGGTCATCCACGTGGCCACCGCCAAGTGACTGGCCACCACAAGGGGCTGACAGTGAAGGAGATGGCCCACTTTCCCTTCTTGTCCACCTCTTTGTTTCTCTTGAGTGGGAGCCAGGAGGCCCAGGTTCCAGTTCTGCTTCTCTTCCTGCCTCACTTTGTGAATTTGGGCAAGTCCCTTCTTTTCCTGGGCCTCAGTTTCACCATCTGTGAAATTAAGTGTTAGGCTCGGCAAGCCTTAAACTTTTGGACGACGATGGATGATTTAGGGAGCCTCTTCCATGTTCATCGATCACCCTCACCACTGGGAGGCTGACAGACCAAACATCACAATCACCGAGGCCCATCCGGCTCAGCCAGCTCCTGCCCTGCCTGCTCACCATCACCCTGGCCGACCCTTGGGCTCTCCTTGCTTCTCTCTCAGCTCCTCGGTGCTCTGACCGCATCCAGACCCAAGAGTGTCCTCCCAACTCTGAAAAGGATCCCAGAAGTGTTAGGGCTGGCACCAAATCATCCCTCAATGCTCCCATTTTACACAGAGGGAAGAGACTTGCCCATAGCCACAGGGCGAGCTGGAGACAGCATTGGGGTCTGTGCATGCCATTTACACCATCTAAGTTTTACCCCAAAGTTGTGTTCTGAAAATCATCAGATTTGAACCAATGGGAGATCTTCCCTCACTGAAGACCCAGGCCCAGCATCCAAGAGTCCCCTGCTGCCTGGAAGAAGCTGAAAATAGAAGAGCCTGATTGAATGGGAAAATGAAGCCCCAGATCTGATCTCATCATGGTCGTCAGGGGTCTCCTTCCACCAGCCCAGGGTTTATTCATTTTTTGAGAATGAGAACAACAGTAACTTTGTAGAACCCACCCCCCAGCAGCTTATACTACACACAAGCACGTTCTCAGCATCAGAACAGGACAGAGGCCTCTGGAACAAGGACTGGAGTGGAGAGCACCAGGACCTGAGGATAACTGCACATGTCGGTCATGAGACTCAGCTCAGAATGTTCTAGACAGCCAAAAGAATTATAATGAACCAGAGAATTTTAAGTAATCTGCACCACAACAAAATGGTTCATCCGCGGTAGGACACTTGCTGAATGCAAACTTAAGTGGGAATAATTGACGTAGAAAGTCTTTGCTAAAAGGAGGTCAGACAAATACACCGACATGTGTGGTGGGTGATCCTTGTAACCAAGGCCCCCGTGAAGGCTTTTGTCTCACGATTCTACACAGCATGACGGCTTGGAGAACCAGAGGTGTAAAGGACCTGCTTTCCAAACCTGGGTTTGGGATGCTGATCCCGTCCATATAAGAGGGGCAGCTGGAGGTCCAGAGCAACAGCCACTTCCTCAGGGTTGAGCATCAGGAAGGAGTACTGAAAGCTGACTACAACAGAGGGGATCTCCCACTTTTTTTTTTAAAGAGTTTATTTATTCATGAGAGACAAAGACGGAAGCAGAGGGAGAAGCAGACTCCCCACAGAGCAGGGAGCCCGATGTGGGACTTGATCCCAGGACCCTGGGCTCATGACCTGAGCTGAAGGTTAAGCAGATGCTTAGCCAACTAAGCCAGCCAAGCACCCGGGATCTTAGTAAAAGGGATGCTCCTTCCAGCAAGGAGACTATCTTGGCCCCTTGCAGTGGCCCCAGACATCTCATCCTTCAAGCAAATGCCAATTGCCCACCTTCCTCAGACTTGGCTGTACCAGGTTGTGCCTCCCAGGAGGCTGACTCTGAGACAGAGCTTAGCATGCAGGACACTTAGCGAGGAATGATCTGGGGGTCAACACAGTGGAAGGGAAGCAGGATGGGCAGAGGGAGAAATAGAGCCATGATGCAGGTCCAGTGACAGCCTGGGCCCACGCCAAGGGCAGCTCTGGAGCTAGCATGGCCCATGAGATTTGTTCCAGGTTGGTCCAGGGTGTCCGGGCCTTTCTATGCCTGCATCTATCACTGATTTGCCCCAGAAGACAAGTGACGTGACTTTGAGCAAGATAGCTCTCTACAGCGGAGGTCATCCCTGAAGTTGTCTGTGGTCAGCACTCCCAGCAGTTGGGGGAACAAACCCTCCACTGAAGGAAAAGCTAGACAATGTGTCTCCACCTGCGTTCTGTTCAACCCAAGGACAGAGCAGTGACATTACAAATTCCCTGTGCTCGTGATTACCTTCCAGCTGATGGAGACAGGCACTCAATCACAACATTTTAAAAGGTACGAAAAGTAAAATGAGAAATAAGAGTAAGCAAGTAAACAAATCTGTGGATAAGCTGATTGCAGTTAGTGATGTGTGCCAAAGAGAAAATAAAACCCAATGTCACCTCTCCCAGAGTTGCAGGGGATAGGATAGCACCACTTCCCATGGTGGCATCAGAGAAAGAGTCTCTGGGGAAGTGACATCTGAGCTCAAATTTTAATAGTAACAACAAAAAAAAAAAAGATGAAAAATTAAATGAGTGTGCTTACTACATGCCAGAAACTGTTTCACGTGCTTTATATATATTAATTATTTAATCTCATAACAACTCCAAGAAGTACATACTATTATCTTCATCTTCAACTTACCTTGTGGCACAGCCATGGCTGGGCACCTTGACTCAGACAAGGCCTATGCTCTCTCCTGATATTTGGATGCAGGGAATGTTCAGAAGACATCACAGATGGTGGAGATGGTGGAGTCCCATGCAGTGCCCTAGCCAGGTCATTTCTGCTATGACATGGTCGTCGCATGTTCTAGTTACCTATCACTGTGTAACAAACCAACCCATAACTTAAAATTTAAAATAATCACAATACTTATTTTGTGAATGAATCTGCAATTTGGTCAGGGCTTGGTAGGCATAGCTCATCTCTGCTTGACTTAATGGAGCTGGGACAGTGGAAAGGCTGGGTCAGGATTGTCTGAAGGCTTATCCACTCACATACATCTCTGGTGGTGGATGCTGGCTGTTGGCCGAGCACCAAGCTGGGCTGTCAGCTGGAACACCTACCCATGGTCTCTCCACATGGTCTGGGCTTCCTTACAACATGGTGGCTGTGGTACAAGGGCAAGCATCGAGAGAGAGAGAGAGAGAGAGAGAGAGAGAGTCTCAGATAGACACCATATTGCCTTTATGTTTTAGGATTGGAAGTCATCCAGGGCCACTTCTACCACATTCTAGTCATCAAAATGGTTACAAAGTTCCTCCAAGTTTCTTTCTTTTTTTTTAAGATTGTATTTATTCATGAGAGACACAGAGAGAGAGAGGCAGAGGGAGAAGCAGGTTCCATGCAAAGGAGCCTGATATGGGACTCCATCTCGGGACTTCGGGATCACGCCCTGAGCCGAAGGCAGACACCCAACCACTGAGCCACCCAGGCATCCGGTTCCTCTAAGTTTCAAAAGGAAACAGACCCAATTCATCATAAAAAGTGGAAAGATTTTGGAAGAGCTTGTAGGACTAGAAATATTGCCATAGATACATTTGGAAATATACAATCTGCCATGCTGTTTCCTGCTGCCTGCTTCTTGACCCTCTGAAGACTCGGAATCCCATATTTCCCTATGTCTGGTCTATCTCTTACTATCCTCTCCAATTTGCATTTAATTTCTACACCATCCCCTTTGCTTAAGCCAACAAGAATCAGTTTCTTCTGCTTGCAGCCAAGGAGTCTGACTCGTGGAAATGAGCTTAGTTTGTCCCAGGAACAAAGTGAAGGCCAATGTGTCCAAAGTGTCCTGTGGTTCACTACCTTCTCCTTGATATTGGTCAGCAGTCCTAACCTTCAGTCTCTAGATGGTAACCAACAAGGGGGATTCAGAGGCCAGCACCTTGGCCCTGACTCCTCCAATAGCTTTCTGTTCATGTTATCTTTGCCAATGCTGCAGCCCTAAAGGGGTGTCTCCTCAAAAGATCCCTGGCCTCCTCTTCATTGGTGAGGTTCAGTGGTTTCTAGGACTATTTCTTAAATTATGCAGGCAAGGCAGAAAGGTGGCTGTGGTAATTAGTGGTGGTGCTTGAATCAGCCAAGGTTCTCCAGAGAAACAGAACCAATAGGAGTATATATTGGACTTGTCAGCCTCCATAATCACATGAGCCAATTCTTTAATCAACTATATCTCTATGGACTATCAATGAACAATCCAAACCAAATTACATTTACACATATAATCAGTCAAAAAAGTACAAAATACTCAGATGTCAATCTAACAAAACATACAGATTTACACACTAAAAACCAAAAAAAAACACTGATGAGAGAAATCAAAGAAGATCTAAATAAATGGAGAGACATCTCTTGGTCATGGATTGGAAGATTCCCTAAAGATAAGAAGTCAATTATCTCCCCAAATTGTTATATAGGCTTAATGCAATTCTTACCAAAATCTCATCAAGAAAATTTGATAAATTGGACTTCATCACAATTCAAAACTTTTGCATCCGCGAAAGAACCTGTTAAAACAATGAAAGACAAGCTCCATACTGGGGGAAAAAATGTTTGCAAACCACGTATCTGACAAGAACTAGAATCCAGAATATATAAAGAACTCTCAAAATCCAACAGTAAAAAACAATCTAAAAAATGGGCAAACGACATAAGCTCTTCACCAAAGAGGGTATACAGAAATAAAATAAAATAAAATAAAATAAAATAAAATAAAATAAAATAAAATAAAAAATAACATGAGGGCAGCCCAGGTGGCGCAGCGGTTTAGCACCGCCTGCAGCCGAGGGCGTGATCCTGGAGACCCTGGATCGAGTCCCACGTCAGGCTCTCTGCATGGAGCCTGCTTCTCCCTCTGCCTGTGTCTCTGCCTCTCTCTCTCTCTCTCTCTGTGTGTGTGTCTCTATGAATAAATAAATAAAATATTTAAAAAAATAACATGAAAGGCCATTCAGTATTATTAGCCATTAGGGAAATGCAAATTAAAACCACGATGAGATATCACTATATAGCAACAAAACCAGCTAACGTTAAAAACCAGTGATGATGCCAAATGCTGGCACATGCTCTCTTAACTTGCCGGAATAAATGTAAAATGTTACAGTCACTGTGGAAAATAGTTGGGCAGTTTCTTGAAAAAAGAAACAAACAAGCCACTAAGATACAAGCAACGAGTTGCACTCCTGGGCGTTTACTCCAGGAAATGAAATTCATGTGCACACAAGCACCTGTGCATGGATGTTTAGCAGCTTTATTTGTAGCAGCCTCAAACTGGAAACAGCTAATTCAACTGTGGTCCATCCATAGCATGGAATTCTACTCAGCAATAATAAGGAATGGGCTATGGATACCTGCAACTCCTGGAGGAGTCCCCATAGAATTATGCCAAGTAATAAAAGCCAGTTCCAACAGGTGACATACTATATGATTTCCTTTCTGTGACATTCTTGAAATGACAAAAATTCTAGAAACAGAGAACAGATTCGTGGTTGCCTAAGGTTAACGAAGACTGAGGATGAGAGTCAGTGTGGGTATAATGGGGCAAGGCAAGCACTTTGTGATGGAATGTTGTCTCCCTTGACTGTACCAAGGGCAGTATCCTGGTTGGGACACTGTTACTATAGTTCTGCAAGCTGTTACCTTTGGGGCAAAGTAGCTAAAAAGTACCTGGGATCTTTCTGTTGTTTCTTATGACTGCATGTGAACTATTGTTATCTCCAAATAAAAGGTTTAATTTTAAAAATAGCTGATAGGGGTGCCTGTGTTAAGCGGCAATCACAATTCAGCGTCTGCCTTTGGTTCGGGTCATGATCCTGGGGTCCTGGGATTGAGTCTCACATCGGGCTCCCTGCTCAGTGGGGAGTTTGCTTCTCCCCCTGCCCCTCACCTCACTAGTGCTCTCTCTCACACGTGCTCTCTCTCTCTCTCTCAAATACATAAAATCTTTTTAAAAAATTAACAATTGGGCAGCCCAGGTGGCTCAGCGGTTTGGCACCGCCTTCACCCCAGGGTGTGATCCTGGAGACCCAGGATCGAGTCCCACATCAGGTTCCCTGCATGGAACCTGCTTCTTCCTCTGCCAGTATCTCTGCCACCTTTCTCTCTCTCTCTCTCTCTCTCTCTCTCTCTGTCTGTCTCTCATGAATAAATAAATTTTTAAAAATCTTTAAAAAAATTAAAAATAACTGGTTTGTTTTATTGTGTAGTATATAATCCATTGTCAAGAATGTCACCCTGTGCTTAGGAAGGTGTGTTCTGTGGTTGTTGGGCAGGGTGCCCCGCAGATCTATTAGGCCAGCATATTGGTAGGAGCTGCTTTGAAGTCTTTGTCTGCTCAGAGATTATGTGTATTGACTGTTTTATTTGTTTGGTTTTCTTTTTCCTGTGGGGTAAAGGGAAGGTCATGCTTTCCTAGCTTGTGTGAGTGTGAGTGTATGAGTGTGTGTGTGTGTGTGCTGCATATTTTAAAATCTTTTACTGAAGACTAGAGATTTTACATCAGATATTGGTCCAACTCTGAATTCTGATCCCTCCCAGGAGGGGCAGCTGCTACTGCTGTTTCTTTGTGTGCTCATTTTGTTGGCCTGGATTAATTCTATGGAGTCTATTTCCCTTGCATTGTATGGCAGCTGATCTTTCTATTCAGAGTTTGGGTTTTTTTTTTAAATTCTTTTCCAGTCTGACTTCTTAGAGGTCACCCCTAGGTCAGTAGATGATTAGTCAGAGGATGGGATGAAGCACCTTGAAGGCTTCCATCCTTTGCTGATGCATCAGTGGGTGGTTTCAGGAATGCATTCAAAGTTCAGGCAATTTACAAATACCCTCCACTCATCTTTTAAGTTCTGTGTTCACAACACCTCACATTCAGCCAGGAAGGAATAGCTGGCAGGTCTTCTCTGTGGTTTCTTTTTAGGTGCTCACAGCCTTGGGTATAACCTCAGCCTTCCAGACCACCAGGAATAAGTAGGATCTTATCAAGACCCCCTCTGGCTGCCTCCTTCCCACATAGCTGTTGTTAAATTTCAGGCTGGTCTACCTGTCTGGTGCTTGCCACAACCAGTATGGAGGCCTTAGGCTAACTGTGACATTGGCCTTCCCAGGTAGTTTGCCATTGAAGTTGCTGTTGGGTTTGACATCACCCCTTGGCATGTAATATTCTGCACTTTTCTCTAATAAAGTCCAGCCCCTTCATCTGCAGAGCTTCAGTCCTCACAGCCTGCCTTGCCCTGGTAAGGACCTGGGAGTAGGGGACCAGCCCCTCTAAAAGGGAGTCTATGGTATTTTAGCCATTTTAGCCATGGACTCCCATTGGTCTTACCGAGATTTGGTAGACTTTCTTTTTTTGTTTGTGTGTTTTTGTTTGTTTGTTTGTTTGTTTGTTTGTTTGTTTGTTTTTGGTAGACTTTCTTAAATAAATGCTTCTCAATTTGTGTCTAATTTAACACATCCAAAATCAAATTCAAGTCCAAATCCAAATTTCCAATTCCTGTCACCTCCCACTGTAGATGGGAGCTCCTTCCTTATAGCCTTTTGGGTTAAAAACCTTGGAGATATTCTTTACGCCTGTTTTCCTCTCTCATCTCATGACATCCAATTGCAAATTCTGTCTTCCGCCTTCTTTTGAAGATGCCCAGAATCCATCTGCCTCTTGGCACCACCATAAAGCCCACTCGGATGCCAGCCACCACCATCTTTTGCTTAGAATATTGTGGTATCCTCCCTCCTGGTCTCTCTGCTTCTGCTCCTGCTTCCCTCTCCTCTCCTCTCTCCTCTAGGCAACCAGGGGAGCCTTCCAAATGTAAGTCACATCATGTTATTCCTGTGTTCAAATCCCCTCCATGGGCTCCCCCTCTCACTCAGAGTAAAAGTCCTCCCAGGCACCCTTTCTGGCTTCTCCTATCATTCTCTTACTTACCCACTCCTCTAGAGGCAGAAGGAGTGTATCAGTCAGGATCTACCATGCAGTAACCTGTACCGGGAGATTCTTTAATATAAAGAATTATTGAGGGGCGCCCGGGGGGGACAGAGTCAGCTAGGCAACTAACTCTTGATTTCTGCTCAGGTCATGATATCAGGGTGATGAGATCAAGCCCTGCCACAGACTCTGCACTGGGCATGGAGCCTGCTCAAGATTCTTTCTCTCCCTCTGCCCCTCCTCAACCTTTCTTTTTCTAAAAAAATAAATAAAATAAAATAAAAAATAAAAAAAAAATATTAACTATAATGAGGATGGTAGTAATCGGGCATTAGCCAATAAGAAATAAAGAGCACTCCAAAGAATTTAGAAATTTTATATTTAATGGGCCGAAAGAGCCCCAGGAAGAGCCCACAGTTGACCCCCAACAAGGTGGAGGTCACGCTGGCTGGAGAAGACATGCTAAGCCTCAAACTGGCGGAGAAGTGGCTGTGTGCGTCACGACTGCAAGTTGCTGGAAGTCGGCCAGACACAAGGGAAAGCCGTTCAAGGTTTCTCCCTGGGGGCGCTCCTACAAAACTGCCGGGAGCCTGTAGGCCATGGGGTGCACCGCGGGAGCCAGGGCTGACAAAGCCATCTTCCGTGCAGAAGCTGGTGCTGCCGAGACACCCTGCCCCCCACGCCCCGCCGGGCTGCGGGAGCTGCCCCCTCCTCCCGGGGAAGCAGTGCTCGCTGCGGAGCTGGCTGAGGCACGCAGGGGGCGGGAAAGCCAGCCCTCGCATCCTGCAGTGTCTCTCCGGCGCCCCCTACCGACAAACCGTAACATCGCGCCGCTGGCCGGAAGGCAGGATTTGGAGCTGAGATGCAACACATTGATAACTCGCACCGTGACCTTCTGGACGTTTTCTTAAAAAGAAAGAGCGCTCCCACCTCGGTGCCTTTGCAATTCGTATACCCCTACCTGGAATCCTTTGTGGTCATCCCCAACCACACCTGCCAGGCCTGCTCCCTCTCCCATCAGGCTTCTGCACAGACTGCTTTTTATCAGTAGGACCGCCTCTGACCGCCCTAACTAAATAGCGCCGCGCTCACAGCGCTTCACATCCCCCTTCCTGATTTACTCCCCTCCGTCGCATTGGTTACCATTTGACATAATTCATTTACATGCGTATTATTTACTGTCCATCTCCCCCATTCTAGAATAAAGTTCATCAAGTACAGGAATTCCATTTTGTTCATTCTTCTATCCAGCAGAGTTGAAGAGAAGAGTGCCTAGTACACAGTAGGCGTGCAATAAATACTGATGGAATGAATGAATGAACGAATGAATGATAATAGATTAGATACAGAAAGAGAAGGGGAACGCCAGCCAGAGTCTTGTCACCGAGACACTACCGCGGTCAGCATAATAGTAAGTTTCTTTGAGATTTTCCCCAAGGAAAATTCCATTTCCATTTTTATAGGAGCTTAACGTACATACAGAAATATATTCATATCAAAAGTGTGCAGCCATGGAATGAGCACTGGGTGTTATATGCAATTGAGGAATCACTGAACTCTACCTCTGAAGCTAATAATACATTATATGTTAATTAATTGAATTTAAATAAAATTTAAAAATTTTTAAGTGTGCAGCTTGCTGAATTTTCACAAACCGAATCCACTCAGGTAACCAGCACCCAGAGAAAGAAATAGAATATTACCAGGGCAGCCCCAGTGGCTCCGTGGTTTAGCGCCGCCTTCAGCCCAGGGCATGATCCTGGAGACCTGGGATTGAGTCCCACCTCTAGCTCCCTGCATGGAGCCTGCTTCTCCCTCTGCCTGTGTCTCTGCCTCTCTCTCTCTCTCTCTCTCTCTCTCTCTCTGTGCCTTTCATGAATAAATAAATAAAATCTTAAAAAAAAGAAAAAGAATATTACCAGCACCCTAGAAGCTCCCTTTGGGCCCCATCCCAGGGTAACCTAATCCTAAATTGTAGAAGCAAAGATTAATGTTTGTGCTTTATATGAATGGAATTACACATATCTGTCACTTGACATTTTATACAGAAGATTCATCTATATTGTTGTGAGTTATTCTATTGTAGATCTTTCATATTCTTTGATGTGTAATATTCCACTGCGTGAGTATACTACAATTTATCTTTCTTATCTTTCAAACAGTATACTACAATTCACCATTTTCCTATTGATGGATATTTAGGTAGTTCCCAGTTTGGGCTACTACCAAGAGAGCTGCTATATACATTCTCATATATGTCTTTTTGTGAACAGATGCCAGTATTTCTGTTGGGTATACATCTAGGAGTGGAAATGCTGTATCATAGAAAATGCATATGTTCAGCTTCACCAGCCAACCTCCCCATCCCACACCCCAGGGATATTCTCTTTCATTCATGTCAACTAACTTTCCCTGACATAACATGTGTGAAGAGCCCAGCCCTACACAAGGCCCTCAATATGAGGCATTCTGGAAATGAGTATGTTCTTTCTTTGACTCCATGCAAAGCACTGTAGCTGGTCCACTGGGATGAAACAGACAAGTAAACCATATCATCAGTAAGAGTAGCCAAATCCTGTCACTATATAGATCTTACTCCTGAAAAAAAAAAGTCTAAGGTTATATTCAAAAGAAAAAACTCACTCTTTACAAGTTAGGATTGAAAGACTCAACAACAGTAATGATGGCAAATATTTCCTACTTCCTTTGTGCTAACCTTGCAATGTATATAACGTCATCCCATCTTCAATGAGGACTGTTCTATCACCCTGTAATACAAAGCCCAACTTTATTTTTTTATGTTTGACTGTGACAGTTGCAAGCCCCTGA